TTGAAGGTACTCACTACCTCCATCTGTGGGAGAGAAAACGAGATAAAAGTTGGCTTGCACCGAGGTCCAGGCGACTGCAGGAGGTGGGGCTGGGCAAGGACAAGGGGCCGCGCTGGGAACATAGCACGACAGCAAAGCCTCAACTCGGTCAGCCCCACTCACTGGGAGCTGCTGATGCTTTTGATCAGGCTGTGACCAAGAGAGGGTTTGCTGGGCAAATGATTAGTGGTCATGAGATCGGGAGGGAGGGTTACAGATGGGGGCACACTGCAAACATTTCAGAAGGAGTCATTTGCATTCACAATATGCTCATTGCAAACCACTTGTCAGTAAGTACCTGCGGCTGGCAATAGTTTGTTATCCTATTTCGGGAGTTCTCAACCTTTTTTTCCGCCCCAGCACACCTGAGGGATATGACATGCTCCCATTAGGAAGATGTGGCTGCACTTCTCTGGGCCCATTGGGAATCGCCATCATTGCTCCCCTTACTCTAAGCAGGGACCCTATTGCTTCTCCCTCTGCCGGCCTGCTGCTCCTACTGGCTTCTACAGCTTACCCAGGTAACTGGGACCCTCAGTAGAAGAATGGACTCAGATAGAGTATGCAGTTAGTCTTGTCAGACCCACAGGCACAGAGGCTGGGAGGACTGGGGACTGCTTTGTCCCCACCTTTTAAGCTTCCTAGAAGTTGAAAGGGAAGTGGGGTCTATGGAAAGAAAGACCCCTGGGAGAGCCTTGTGGATAAATCCCACCAGACGTCCCCGGCTTTGGAGTTCCTGATCTCACCTTTGACTGTCATGTTGGGGAGCAGACACAGGCAGTGGGGTCCCAAGGAACTACACCCAAGTGGCTACATCAGTAGACCAACTGACCAACTGCCTAGGTCGTGAGTGTGCAGCATGGCACACTCATGGCCTCATTTTAGCAAATGACCCATCAGTTGGGAGATTCTTTGTTCTTGGAGTGTGGATCTGACTTCTGGAAAGTACCATGTAATTCACTGGATGACACGCACAACAAAGCCAGCATGCATTTCTGGAGCCTGAAAGGACCCTCACTACCTGCTGCACCCCAAGGCCTGCAGTCGGTTACATGTAGCCCCCCCTCCCCCAGATTCAGATAGGTGTCTGACATGGGCCAGGGCTTCTTGGAAGAAGATAGCTAAACTGTTTTGTACCCTCCCCCAACCGAAATGCAGATGGATGTCATTTTGACCTTGGACGCGATATGGAAAAGCCTCATTATCCTTCTACTGGGCCTTCCCAGCACCCCTTTTGCCCAGCACGACCTGCTCGCTCACTCCTTTGCTGGGGAGAGAAGGGGAGCCTCACGGCTGTGACTGCAGCTGTGATGCACATGGTGACATAGCTCTGCACTGTGCGTCGGCACATGGCGGGGAGATGATTGATGTGATGGTGCCATAGTCCCTTGTGGGGCTTTCCTGCCCAGATTTAAATATATCTAGGCTATGGAGATAGGTCTCTCTCAAGAGAGGACACTTATCGTGACAAGAAATGGGAAATATTCCTTTCCTGCCTCAGATTACATTGGTGTCTCCTGGTTCCGTGCGGCATCCCCATGGGACAACCGTATCAGTCACCCCCACCCTCACCAGAAGCCCAGGCAACTGGGCCAGGAACGAGGCCCATTTGGTGAACCTTCTCATGGGTTTACAACAGAATGCAAAAAGGACCACGTCACGAGCGTTCAAAAAGCTACATGTTCTGGGTTTGACGGACTTGCTTTTATTCGGGAATGACACCCTGGCATCTGGTGCACTGATACTGGTAGTGTGGAACAGAGAAGGAAGTAGGTTACTTAGCAACAGAAAATGTGCAGGCCTCTGAAATCTGGGGAGCAATTTCGTGGTTCACAGAATCCAGAAATCTGGAGCCAGCTGCCTAGAAAAATGGATGGAACCTGAGGGGCCTCTCCCAGGCTTTATTTCTGGTTTTTCAGCTGGTATTTTGAATCGAAAAGAGCAGACACTTTTTAAAAAGTTGAGCTAAAATAACCGATTGGTTCCGCATTCTTGAAAGGCATGGTGAATACAACATGATAAAGTCAAACCGAAAAGCCACGGGGGTCAAGATCCCATGGAGGCATCACAGTGGCTTTACTGAGGGAGAAAGCAATGTGTTTGGGCAACTGTCATGAAAGACTTGGGCCCTCGTAGCCCCGACTCTCATGGAGTGACCTTGGACCAGTCCCTTCCCTTGGGGCCCCATTTTCTTGCTTGTAAAGTACCTACAAGGGTGCCAGCAGTCAGAATGGCACAGAACACCACAACTGCAGCTGATGGGACCCACTTCTGCTAGTCAGGCGGCAGTGGCAAGCCCAGGAGTCTACAGGCATACAAAAACATGACATGTACAGGTGGCTAGGCAACCAGTGACACCTCAGCTGGGAGGCAGGGCTTCTGTCTCAGCTAGTAGGAAAGCTAACACTGCCTGGCACTGCACTGACAGAAATGAAATAGGCGGCTAGGGAGCAAGATCCTGCTGTAGCCCTTTTTGGGCGCTGCAGCGGAACTAGGGTATGAGCACAAGAGCCTGCCTGGGCAAGAACGGGGACAGCAGACCCACGGCCACAGTCTCCTAGAAGGTACGGTTGCGAGGCCACATAAGCACTGGGGAAGATATGAGGACCGTTCCCTGGCATTTGATGTACTTTAAATGTAGCACATAAATACTTATTGCAGGGAATGAACAAAAAAAAAAACCAAAACAAAAACTCCCTATGCTGTACCCGTGGCCCGTCCTGGGCACTGTGCATGAGGTACCAGCACTCTCATTTGGGAGATGAGGTTCAGGCCATGGCTCCAACAGCTACTCCCCTTCTTCTCTTGGGCTCCCTCTGCATCCTGTCCAGCTCACAGCTAAGGTAACGCTACTCAGACGTGGACCTAGGGCATTCGTCCATGGCTACACTGGGGCAGGTGCTTAAGGCACTACTCCAGCCTCCTGGTTCTGAGTTGGAAAAGCCCCTGGTACCCTGGGGAGTTCCTTCAACATGGACTTCTGTGGTGCCACCTCACCCAGCCCTGCAGGCCTCATTTCCCTGGGGGTGAGTTTGGGGACTCTGTAGCTCTGGAAAGTTCCCCAGGGCATACTGACATGCTTGGACTCAGTGCCCTAGGCTGGGTACACAGATGGCCCATGATGGCAGGAGGGAGCCATGTGAGAAGGATTCACAGGTCTTGGTGGCTTTTGAAGCATGAATAGAGGACCTTGAGGGGACACAGCAGCAAGCAGGAAGGCATGGCAGTGTGGGTGAGCAGACGCACACCTGGAAAGGCAGCCAGGGTTACAGGGGTGTGGAGAGGAGTAGGGTGATGCCAAGAGGCTGAGGCCTGAATGGCCACACTCAGGAACCTGGACTTCATCCTCAGGACAATGGAGAGAGGCTCTGAAGGCCCCAGTGTGGAGATGGTGTCAGAGAGGCTGAGCTGAGCAGAGCAAGTGGAGTGGTAGAAGGCTGGGAGTTCAGAGCCTGATCTGAACTGGGGTTTCCTGAGGCTGGGCCGCAGCCAGGAAAAAAGCAAGGGCACCCCAGGCTGGGCCCCATCAGACCCAGAGGTTTGTATGGGAGCAGCTGTGTGCACTAGAAAGGAAAGTGGGACCCGGGACACTGAGGACACCTTGGAGTCCAGGCTGGAGGCAGGGAGGGGTGTGGCCTTAGGTCCTGCCCCAGGAAGTTGCCCAAACAGACTCCCAAGGAGGACCCAGCCAGATGGTCCTGCCTTAGCTGGTGGAACCCTAAGGAGGAGAAGTGATTGGACCTACATTAGAGGTAGTGGGACTGTCACTTGAGAGAAGGTGGCCAGAGCCTAAGATAAGGACAAGGTGGTGAGAGTGCCAAGATCATCTGAAGGATGCCAGGGGAGGCTGGGCTATGGGGAACTGCCTAGGGGCCAGGCCAGGCCAGGAGGCTGCAGTGGACGGACGGGGCTGGTAACCTAGTGGGATGGAGGGGCTGGGGCTCAGGCAAGGCCCCGGTAGGCCTTCATTCCCTCTCTACTAGGCCTGTGGGATTTGGGGCATGGCAAAGCATGGGCAGAGTGGAAGACTGGGGTCGTCAGGAGCAGACTCTGAAGGGACAGCAAGCCACCAGGGCAAATGGGAAGCAGTAAGGATGGAGCGGGAAGGAGGTCTTGCAGGCTGGCGTGAGAGCTGTTTCTGTGAGTGGTGGGCATGAGAAGGCACACGGGAAGGATGTGGCGAGGCAGTGAGTATGGAACCTTCTGGCAGGAAGGTTGGCTAGGAGGAGATGGGGGCAGAGAGGAGGGTGGCTCTGACACATGGCTCTTGTGAAGCCTTCACAAGCGCCTATTACTGAGTGATAGTTGTGGCCATCTGACTTTATAGGGAGCTGTAGCTGATGGCCTTGGCCTTGACCAGCCCCCCTACCCTATGGAGATTTGGGTGAACAGAAAGGACCAATTTGGTGGCAGAATCCACTTCCTAAATGAAGCCCTCGCACAGTAATTACAGCAAACTGCAATGAACTGGGAGCTTACCAAAGGTTCTTGGGTGGTTCTCGGTTTGAACTCAGGGCACGGCACTTGCTAGCCAGGCGCTGTCTCCCACTTGAGCCACAACCCCAGCCCATCAAAGGGTCTTTGAAATGGACAGTCTCTTCCCAAGTATGCAATTTGCCCACCACCTGGGGGCAGTCCCACCAAGTGAAGGGGACAGTGCTGATCCGGGCCCCTGACAGACAGCCACTAGTCACCAGCACACACCTTTAGCCCACTGTAGGGAGACACCGTCCCCAGCCCCGAGGACGGTGTCAGGGAAAGGAGAGCTCAGTGCCCCAGCCAGTGACAGGCACGCCCAGATGGCAAAGAGGAGACCAGCAACTGCCTCTGTGCCCATGGCAGCAAGACTTTGGGGCTTCCCTGTTGGTCACGAGCTCTGCTAGCCCGTTCTCCACTTCTTGCCTGCGTTCTACCCTCTCAAGGCAGAAACAGCAGGGTAAGCAAACGAACCGGCAGCTTACCTGCGTCTGAATCCGGTTGAGGCCCCGGAACCAGAGGATCTGACCCCTGCGAAGCTCCCGCTCTGCATGGTCGATCTCCTCTTCCCCCTCGGCCAGCTCCTCATCGGTCATCTCGTCCTTCCCAGGCCCATGCCCTGCTTCCTTCAGGCACTTGAGCTGGCTGGTGGGGATGGTGGCAATGACCTGGTGGAGCCACAGTTGAGGGACAGCAAACAGAGGTGGCGTCAGAGCAGGTTCTGCTGCGGTTAGGAAGAGGCCCCATCTCCTGCCAACACAAGCTAAGGCTTGACACTCCAGCTGACCCCCTGCACCTGGCAGACTCTTGTTTCCTAACCTGCCCTGTCCCTGTGGCACATTCCTCCTCCGTTGAGCCTCCTCCAGTCAAAGGACTGGGGAGCAGCTAGAGGAGCCTATCAGTGCTCCTCTCCTCTCCAGTGCTATGCGGTAAAGACAGGTCTGGCCTTTTTTGCCAGCACTTGGAATACCCCGCCTAAGTGGCATGTAGATCGCAGGGGCCAGTGGACCACCTGCTAGTCTATGCAAATATTGTGATCTGTGATGGGGGCCTTGGGCTACAGAGGGTATGGACACTGAGACCAGCCATCCAGGCACTGCATGCCCAGGTGACAGACAAAGAAAAACCCTGGACACCACAGCTTGGGTGGGCTTCCTAGCTGACAATACCCCATGCATGCTGTCCCTCGTGGTTGCTGGGAGAAACAAGCACTGACTGTACCACTCCCTGGGAGACCCCTGGAAGCTCATGCCTGGCCTCTCTTGGAGGAAGAAGGACCTAGCAAAGGGCCCATGATCGAGGGCTGGCAAGGAGGGAGAGGTGACAAGGAGGGTGGCAGCTGGGAAGGGCAGGAGGGGGAAGAGTCAGGTAGGAGTGAAGGCAAGTGCTGGCTTTGCATTTCTCTGTCTGGATGAAGGACGGTGGATCCTGTCTATCTTATGCATCTGAGCAGAAGTCTATCAACACAGCCAGGAGCAGACTTGAGGACCTTTTCACAGAAATTCCATTCCATTGGATTTTTTTCACTGAAACATGTTTTATTTTTTGTAAATGAAAAAAGTTAATGACTGAAAAGGCTAGTCTGTAGCCCTAAGGGGCTACGCATGGGGCTGGCACCATGTGCAGTGGTGCAGGAGTGGGGGTGGATCTGAAGTCCCAGGGACTAGAAGCCCAAAAGTCAACAAGAGACTGGCACCACCAGGACTGTGTGGGATGTGTAGAGTCCAGGCTGTGGGAAGTGAAGGGACTCCATGGGACAATCAGGCATGAGTGGGCATGAAAGGGGAGGTGCAGCAGTGGAAGGAGAGGGAGGAATCGGGCAGACTGTCCCTGAGGACTAATGCCAGGGACCAACAGAGGCCAGCATCCACAGCAGCCAGCTTGGGAGGGGGGACGGGGCACCAAGTGGATTCAGAAACAAAACCCAGAGTGCTATGGGCTAAACTCTGCCCCCACTCCACCTTGAGTTCCTGTGTTGAAGCCCTAACCCTCATTGTGGCAGTACTTGGGAAGAAGGAGATAATCAAGGTTAAACGAGGTAATCAGGTCGGGGTCCTGATCCCACTGGATTTGTGCCCTTATGAGAGGATTCACCAGAGACCTCCAGTTCCCTTGGCTCTGTGAGTATGCAGTGAGAAGGTGGCTGGCTATAAGCAGGGAAGGGGCCCTCACCAGAAACTGAACTGGCTAGAACCTTGATCTTAGACTTTCTGCCTCCAAAGCTGTGAGAAAATAAGTGGCTGTTGTGTAAGCTGCCATCTATGATGTATTTTAAAAATTATTTTTTCTGTACTAGGATTTGAACTCAGGGCATTTGTGTTTGCTGGGCAAGTGCTCTACCACTTGAGCCACACCTCAAGCCCTTTTTGTTTTAGTTTATTTTTCAGATAAGATCTTGAGCTTTTTGCTTTGGCCCTACCTTAGACTGCAATCCTCCTACCTCCAACTCCTGGGAGCTGGGATTACAGGTTTGCCCATTACACCTGGCTGATCTATGGTATTTTGTTATGGCAGCCCAAGCTAAGACAGAGAGAGAAGTGGATCCTGGACGCAACTCCTATGCCAGTGTCCAGAACTCTTGAGAAATGCTTCTGGAGCCCTCCCATGAACCTGTGGCAGGTGGGGCTGGTTCCATGCCTGGGTTCTGATTGGCTCTAGCTACCCAGGCTGTTGCTTCCTGATTGAATCACTGGGCACTATAATCTGCCTCCTGTGTGGCTTCAGCTGCAGCCCACAGGTCTGGTAGTGTGATTCTGTCACGTTCCACCAGGTCACAATAATTGTAATTCTTAATTTTTCTCAAGACCTCTCTTTACCCAGATTATTTAGTAGGGATTTTTTGATGCTGGGGAGGGAACGTGGGGCCTCATGCATAATGAACAATTGTTCTGCCACCAAGCTGCACCCCCAAGCCACCCAGGTTTAAGGAAAAATCTGTGGCTACCATCATGGAAAGAGGAGCAGTGGGTGGTTTTCGTGGGCCCTGTGACATCCCAGCAATCACCTTTTGTGTTCTCTTTGCTGGTGCTGTCACATGTGACCTTGTCACAGTATGCCACAGAACTGAGCCCTGTCGAGCAGGGCTGTCCACCTGAAGATGTCACGTGCTTTCCCAGGTGCAAGCTCCAAGGCTCCAGAGCAGGGAATTGGGGCAGTGGAGCCCTGGGTTGGCCAAGACTCCTGGCATCTTGCTCATTACAAGTGCCATCAGCAAAGCCAACTGGAAGGGGGCAGGGTGAGAAAACTGACTAGGCTGGTACTCACCTGTCCCCAGACCAGCTCCCCAACACCAACAAATAGGCACCAGAGCCACTGTTCTGTGGACAGCGGGGAGCAGCTGAAGGGCTTCCCACCGAACTGGACGATGACGATCTGCAGAGGCGGATGGGAGGGGTGGGTCTAGCAGCAGCAGACCACCAGCACAGGTCCTGGCTGCCCTTCATCCAGCCCAGCCCTCTACCCACTCTGCCTTCCAGACCAGCCTAACCTCTTGGGAGCCAGGCCATCTTGGTCGGAGTCAGCGGGTTGCTGGCTCCCCTGGGCAGATGAGCCATTTCCTGGGGAGAGGCTTGGCTTTCCTTTCTTGGGGTTCCTTCCCTTCCTTTCTCCATTACATGCCAGCCCCCACCTTTTCTCTAGGTGCCAAGCACCCACTGACTCTAGCCCTCAGGTGTGACTCAGCTGTACTGACCATATTTCCAGCTTCTGCAAATCTGATGTTTAATACCCACCTTGCCTGCGCATGCCAGACACCCTCGTTCTGGATGACCCCATAACATAAGGGTCACTTTTCCTTGGCCTCTACCTTTCTCTTGCTCCCCACTTCAGGAGGGGGCAGCATTTCAAGTACAAGCCAACCAGTCCCGAGCATACCCCAATCCTTCCCAGGACCAGGTGGTGGTCACCACCCACAGCCCCGCAGCCCTAGAATGGGATGAAATGGTTCTCACTAGCCAATCCTAAGCCTACTGGCTCCATGTCACTCATTCTGTCCTGTGGAAACCAGGACAAAGCTCCCCCACTGTGCCTCCTGACTGGCATTTCTGTCTGGTCCCAATGATATAGCACGGTCCTGCTCTTAGGATCTGTGATTAATGAATTATCTTTCAACAGCACTCATCTCCTGATCTATGGATCTAACTATACCTCAAGTTTTGTTTGACGACACTCTATGTTAGAACATTCAGCCTCTCCTGGGGAGCTGGACTGCCCAGCCTCTCCATGATACTGTGGCATGGCAGCCATGGACACATCAGACGTCTCCAAAAGAACCTTCTAGAGTTATAGCAGTAGGAATTAGGTGCTAGAAATGGAATGGCAGATCCGTGGGGGGTGGGAGGGGAGGGGTACTTCTAGCATCTGTGAGAGGAAAAGGCACACCACACCCCTGGTTATGCGAGGGTGAGCTCAGTGATGTTTGGAGGATGAAGAACGCCTGTTCAGGAGTGAAGCATGGGCAGGAGTTAGAGGAAAGTCAGGAAGGGCAGGACTGGTTCTGTGAATGGAGACAGACAGACCAGTACGGGGGGGGGGGCCGGGGGAGACCTGGGGCTCTGGTTCCCACTGTCCTTGCTCCTTGCAGGTAGCGGAGGCCAAGTGTGGAGCTGCCTCTCCTACCTGAATTCCAAAGGTGCCCAGGACAATAGTGCAAAAGATGGGGTTGCTGAAGATGCCATCGAAGACGTTGCGCTCTCCGTGGATCTTGCGGGCGTTGATCTCGTTGAAGAGCTGCATCATGACGAAGGTGTTGAAGATGATGGTGTAGTGCTCTGAGGGCGGCGAGTGCAGGGGTGCGTTCCTCCCGCTGTCGATGTCGAAGAACAGCTCTCCTGGAGGGAGGAGAGAGGTGGGGGCTCAGGAGGTAGGGGCTCTGAGAAGCAGTGACCACTGTCCTTCACCACATCGGCCTCTGGTACACCCACTGGAGCACACGCAGAGAAGGCAGTAGGGAAGTGAGGGCTAAGGGGGTGCAACAGGCCAGTTCCTTTTTCATTCATCATTCCATCAATAGCTGCTGTGTCTCGCCCTGTGCTGGGCTGGAGATACAGATGACGTGTGTCACACATGCCCGAGCATGAGGCCTTGGCCACAGCAGCTGAGAATGTGTGTCCCAGGGCCAACTTACCGACGAAGAGCAGGGTGAAGATGATGGTGAGCTGATAGACAGCGTGACCCAGGATGTTCTTCATCATGGTTCGTGAGATGAGGGGCTTGTCCCGGCCGTATGGCTTCCGCAGCAGCAGTGACTCGGTGGGTGGCTCCGTTGCCAGGGCCAGAGAGGCAAATGTGTCCATGATTAAGTTCACCCACAACATTTGCACGGCTTTGAGAGGAGAGTCCTGCAGAAAATGGACAGTCAGTCTTCCATGGGCCAGCCACCTGGGCCTGCACAGGGAAGGCTTGCCATGGGAACCCTGCAGCTCCTGGGAAGAAATCCCGCTTGGGGTTAATTTACCAGAACTTTGCTCCCTTAAACCTCTCCACCCACAGGTTTCCTTTAGGTTAGCAGGGTTTTCATCTGGGCTTCCAGATTCCTGACTATCAGTGATCTTGAAAGTGAGGTCCAAAGTCCCAGTTACCTACTCCAGCCTCTGAAACAGCCCAATGACAGGGGGCTGCCATTTGGGACCACAGAGAAGTGATTACTCTCCTTATCTCTTACACTCTGAACCCGACCTGCCTTCTCATCATCCCCTGTGAGTTACTCTTAAAAAATCAGCCTCACAGGGCTGGCAGAGTGGCTCAAGTGGTAGAAAACCTGCCTAGCAAGTGTGAAGCCCTGAGTTCAAACTCCAGTACTGCCAAAAAAAAAAAAAATCAGCCTCACGGAAGTCTGACGCACAAGGCCACGTGTCACGAATGAAATGAGATGAACTGACAAGTCTATAAAGAGAGAGTGTATGAAGGGGTGCCAGTGGCTGGGGGAATGACGATAGGGACTGACTGCTAATGGGTGCAGGGTTTCCTTTTGGGGTGGTAGAATGTTCTGGTAATACACAGTGGTGATGGTTGCACAACACTGTGAACATACTAAAAGCCACTGAATTGTACACTGTAAAATGCTTAAAATGGGGCTGGTGGTGTGGCTCAAGCCCCCTTAGTAGGACTGTCAACAAGTGCCTAGCAAGTGCAAAGCCCTGAGTTCAGCCCCCAGTACTATCAAAATAGGTTAAAACGGCCATTACAGTGTATTTATGTCATATAAATTAGATCTCAAATAACAAGTCTTTAATGGGACCAAACTGATCAGCAAAAAAAATTAACTATGTTTTGACAACAAACTTGACCAGGGGAGAAATAAATTCTGGACCCTTACCAATAGGAAGAATGGGACAGCTGAGAAAGGGAGGAGTTGCTGTCAAAGGTGAAACCTAACATTCATGTGCGACCTTGACCCCAGAGAATGGAAACATATGTCCATACAGAAATTCAGACGTGAGTGTTCCTGGCAGCACTACTCACAATAGCCCCAAAGTGGAAATCAGCTGATAAATGATAATCACAGTGTGGCATAGCCATACCACGGACAATCGTGCAGCCATTAAAAAGGAAGGAAGTACCGGCCCAATCTCACAAAATGGATGAGTCTTGAAAACACGCTAAGTCAGATCTAGATGCAAAAGGCCACAGGTATTTGATTCCACTGATGTGAAATGTCTACAACACGCAGATTCACAGAGACAGAAAGCAGACTGGTGGCTTCCAGGGGCCAAGAGCGGGAGATGGGGAGTGAGTGCCAATGGTTACAAAGTTTCCCTTCGAATTGATGGACGTGCTCTGAAACTAGATAGAGGTGATGGCTGCACAACACTGAATATACTAAAACAACCCTACTGAATTGTGCACCCCCAAAATGGTGAATTTTGGTATGTGAATTTGACTTCAGTTAAAACAATCAACAGCAAAGAAAAACTTGCGCTCAACCCAGCCCTCAGGCCTGAGCTCTTCAGACCAAGCCGCTGCCCTCAGAAACCAGCTGCCTCCTGCTGGCCCTATGGCTTGTGGGAGGGAGAGCTCCGGGTGCCCACCTGAGTAATGCAGGCGCCTGTGAAGGCCACGATCACAGCCACCACGTTGACTGTCAGCTGGAACTGCAGGAACTTGGAGATGCTGTCATAGACGTTGCGGCCCCACATGACGGCCTTGACAATGCTGGTGAAGTTGTCATCGGTCAGGATGATGTCAGAGGCCTCCTTGGCCACATCAGTCCCTGCAATGCCCTGGGGTGGCACACAAACACACAGAGTGCCCGTGGGGCCCCTTTCTTGGCCCTACTTGACCATCCAGCCCACCTGGGCTGATTGTGTGCCTTTTCCTACCAAACAAGGCCCTGCCAGCTGTGGACAGCACTCGCTTTTATCCAATACGTTCTTGTGCTACAAACAAGTGGTTGTGCGTCACTGTGAAGGGGCTTTGCCCAGAAGCACAGAGCTGCTGACATGGCTACTCACACAGCCTTACACAAGGCCCAGCTGCTGCAAAGTGGCCACTCACTAGCCTTGTGTCTATTCCTAGCATGCTACAGAAGCTGGCTATCTAAGGAGGCCCCAAAAGGCCCCAGTGGCATGGTTTTGGCAGGCTGAGGAACCCATCCTCGCCCTGCTGCTCCAATACACAAATGCAGAACCAGCTACAGCCCTACAGGGCTGCTCAACCCTGCCACCACCCCACCCCAGGCCTAACCTTGTGAAAGCTGCTGCCCTTAGAAGCTCTGCTTGGTCTCCCCTTCAGGTTGGGGATCTGGGAAGAATAGATTTTACCCCTGCTGTGCTACACTGTACACGAGGTGAGTGAAGGGTGCTCCTTTCTGCTAGGGTGGGAATAGGGGCCACCAAGCTGCTGACTTCATCAGCTAAACTCAGCTTCCTGTGGGGCCAGGGCTAGCTCATATGGGCAGCGCCTAGCAGCCACCCTGCTCAGGAGGATCAGGGTTTTAAGGGAAGAACTAGCTATATATGAGCAACAGGAAAGAAGCGCAGAGGAAGAGCCCACGAGAGAGTGCTAATCACATTTGGGGCCAAGAGTCTATTTTGAGTGACATCATCGACAAGCCCTGCATCCTGCTCCCTTCTTAATGGTGTAGCTGGCTCCCACTGTCACTTCAGGAGTCATCGCACCAAATGTCTTGAGACAAATCATACACACGTCCCTTAATAGGAAGAGCCCATATGGGCCCGAGTGGCCAGGATGTGAAAGAACCTTCAAGCATTCTGCAATTTGCCCTACACTGGCTCCTACTTTTTGGAACAAAGCTAATGTCCACGAGACACAAGGTGTCATCTGTGTGATCAACTGGCTGGAACTGGGTGGTTTACCATGGCAAAGCCCACATCTGCTTTCTTGAGGGCCGGCCCATCATTTGTGCCATCTCCGGTCACGGCCACCACTTGTCGCTGCTCGCCAGTGGTGCTGTCAATAATCCCTGGAATACAGAACAAAGGAGGGTAAGACTGGTACCATCTGTTATCACAGCTCCTTGTGGTCTGGTCAAAGGAACTGCAGGGCTGGGTTGCCTCCGTGCTCCTGGTCACCCTCAGGATCAAGACCCAGGCCTTAATAGCACAGCCCAGCCCCGCCTCTCACCCAGGTCCTTCACCTAGTAATACAAGGTGGTTTGATTTGGTAGAATGGAAGGGTCCAGCACTGTGTGGCTGGATAATTATCTCCCCATTCTGGGCATCAGTTTCCCCATCTAGTCCAGTGAGTGGGCAGCCTCTATGGGCCCTTCTTCCTTGGGCATTTTCTATTTACCAGTCTCTAGAAGCAATGGATCTAGAACAAAGGTCCCTGCTTCCTAGGCAGGCCTTAGAGACTCATTTGGGAGTGTGGCTTAGAGTGCCCAGGAGCAATGACACAACATTCAGGGGCACTGGTGCCAGCCACCTTGGGAAGAGGGTGTGTATGCTTGGTTACCTTTGACGAGAGTGTGCTTGTCAGTGGGAGATGACCGGGCGAGCACCCTCAGCTTGGGCCACACCTTGTCCAGCCGCTCCTGTTCTATCTGGGGGCAAGCACATGGATGCTGCAGAGCCAAGGTGGATGGACAGGTAGGGGTGGGGTGGGAGGGTTGGGCAGAGTGGGGAGCAGCCAGCACCAGGCCTGAGATGGCAGGGCTACCTCGCCTTTCTCGTTGCGGATCCTCCGGTTGAACTCCTTCCCCTCCAAGCACAGGAAGTCCTCCCCTGGCTGGATGATGCCGCATTTGGCCGCAATGGCCCGGGCTGTGTTGATGTTGTCCCCGGTCACCATGCGGACTGTGATGCCAGCACGCTGGCATTTGCGAATAGCTTCAGGAACCTGGAAGGGACAAGGAAAATGGGTGGAAAGGGAAGGCATATTTTGTGCCTGGGCTGAGTCCTTTCCAACATCTAGATGTGCAGATCCCTGAGGTAAAGCCAAGTCTGTAGGCCCAGTGCAGACTCTTGGGAGGAGGGAGCCAGAGGAGGCACAGAGTATGGCCTGCAGTGGGCAGGTGCCCCCCTTGGTCCCTCAGCTCGCCTCCACAGTGCCTCTTTCCTTGTTGGCCCCAGGAAGCAATGATGATTTAGACCCAGGCCCTGGCAGCAAAAGCAGGGTCCAAAGAAGCCACTGGAAGCTTCTGTGTGGAAAGGTCACCTGGGTGGCCATAGTAATCACCCAGCTCTGTCAATCTTGTTTTCCAGATGTGAAACTGAGCCCAGAGCTGATGAGCAGGACCAGCTGTGTTCCCAGGTGGGCTGGCAGGGTGACTGCACTCTAAAGAATGAGGAGAGAGGACTTGGACTGCTTTCCTCCAGTCCCTGACACACGAGAGCCTCTGCTCTTTCTCTCCTTTCCCTTCTTTTTTCCTTTCCCTTCCCTTTTCCTTTTTCCTTTCCTTTCCTTTTTCCTTTCTCCTTTCCTTATAAAACTGTCATTTTGTACCTCAAAAAAAAAAAAAAAAGAATGAGGAAGGGGTCTCCTGGCCCAGGCTGATCCCTCTGGGGCCCTGACTAGGGGGTAGGCATCTGGCTGTCATCTGCCTTGTGGCCAAGCTCTGGGCTCCTCTCATTTGTCAGTTTTTTTTACAATATGAAACCAAAGCCATTTCCCTCAGGAATTCATCTTTTTTCTTGGGGCTGTAACTTGTACACAATCTACTCAGTAGGAGAAATAGAGCATCGCTTAGTTATATAGCATGCATTTCATTTCCAAAGGTCAGATTCTGGAGCAAGGGAACAGGAAGGAGAACGCCTAGCATTTAGTGCAAACAGGCCAATCAGGGTGGAGGGCGGGAAGCCAGGAGACCAGCCAGGAGGTTGTGGCATCATCCCAGCTATGGGAGGACAGAAAGGACAAATAAAGTATGTGGTTCCTCAGTGCTGAGGCTGTGGCAGGAGGAAAGGAGACAAGATGCATAGAGGAGACTAAGGGGAGGGGAGAGGACGGAACAGGAAGGGGGAGCTGTTAGAGCTGGAGGAATTAGGTGAGGAAGGCAGGCCTGAGCTGCTGATTTTTCAGTGGGCTCCTTGTCAGCACTGATGGGCTGATCATGTGTGCCCTGGGGACAGTTACTGGGCCCGAGGAGAGTACAAGAATGTGCAGGCGCCCAGAATTGGCCCAGTCCCCTGGCTTAGGGAGCTGGCATAGGGTGTGTACACAGGAGCAGAAGGCAAGATGGCAGGGAAAGGGGCGGCATAAGGCAGTTTGGGAGCAGCCAGGGAAGAAATGGGGGGCAAGAATAGAGACACCATCACTTAAGGCTATGACAGGGTGACTCTATGATCACCAAAGCACATACCAAAGGTGGTAGGGAAGAGTCCAGCCACAAGGAAGGATTGTGCACCCTGAGTCCCTGTGATGTGTCACCTTGCTCCCAGCATAGGGTCATTTACTGCTCATTGGGGATCTTGGGGTCCTGGATAAGACCACGGGTTACAAAGAGATAACTCTTAAGTGAGGGAGTAGCTCCTTTCCCTGAAGCGGCTGGACAGCACTCCTCTGCTGCCACCTAGTGGCCATGAGGAGCCTGAGCGTCCAGCGCTGAGCAGCAGGCTTCTCTGGACTCTCAACCCCCCAGCCGGGTTGGCAGGAAGGCCCCCTCCAGAGGGGGACCTGCACCTCGTGGGACAGGCTGTCCCTTATTGTCTGCTCAGCCCTGCTCTCTGCTTTCTCCTCAAGGCCCCACAGCATGGCAGCAAGCTGGGTATTCAAAAGTGCCAGGCCCCACTCCAGCATTAATATTGCCTGGCCCTAAGCCTCCTGTGGGCACAGCCACCGTCTGGCTGCAGTCACCCCATGCTTCCAAGCACCCATCAGGTTTAACCAAGGCCTGTGCCCTTCTGTCTGCTTTTGGCATGAAGGCTTCACTTGTGCCCACTGTGCTCCTTCCTTGGCCACCACCCAGTTGGCTGGTCTCCTTGGGGGTCTGCCTGGCCTCCCCATCTAGCTTTATCACTGTGATCTGTCACCTGAATTCTCTCTCAGCCACTCTCAAGCTAGAAAGACGCTGTTCCCTGGGACCCTCTGCCATCACCCAGCCTGGACATGGCCTCTCACTGCCCTGAGCTGCTACTTCACCATGGCACGCAGTAAAGCTGGTCTTTGCTGAATCCTTCTCATGACTTGCCTGTGTTTGATATTTTCTGATATGCAAACTTACAAAAAAAATAATATTGCACAGCTGACCCAGGGGCTCTTCCCACTGCCAGCCTTCCCTGGGCCTGCTTTGCTCACACTTTAATTCTCTCTCCATCTACCTATCTTCTCCAGGCCAGGCTCAGGTCGGTTTCTCTCAGGTCAGTTCTTTCCCCCAGACAGAGACCATGCGGAGCACAGGGCTGCTCCACTGATATGACACATGGCTGCTGTTTAGATGTGGCGAGCATTGTCTTCTCCTGCCCTGCTGCACCCACAGCCCCAGGGCAGCTCCTACAATGATGTGCTTTCAGGCTAATGGGCAAAGTGGCCCTGCTTCTGACGTGAGGTGGGCACCAATGGGTAGGATCTGGGAACAGAGACCCCTTCCAGACTCTGCCTCTCTTGAGGCTCTCCCATCTTTAAAGGCCAACAAACACAACCATTGCAAAGAACCTGGTCAGGTCGAGGTCTCCAATGACCTCCCAATGTCAAGGCCATGACTGCGATAGCTTGTCTTCCTTCATTTTGTGTTTGCTTCACTCACATGGTCTTGAGGTTTTCCCTCCCTGTCTGGCCTCTGTTGTAGCTACACACTGTCCCGCTGACATCACCCATATAAAGATGCTCCTGAAATTTCTCTCCAGCCAGAACCTTTCCTCTGAGTGTTCCACTTCTATGGCCACCTGCCTGCTCAACATCTCGAGACACACGGATGTCCTGAACCTCAATCAGACCCAAGCAAACCCTCGACTGAGACCTCGCACCCTGTCCCCAAACCTACATCCCCTCGGGCTTCCCAGCTCAGTAGAACATGGGGCCTCCCCCTCCTCATCACCCCCTTAAGTCCATTGCTCTTACAAGTGTTGATCTCACTGCCACCCTCTCTCAGGTGGAACCCGAGTCTTCTCAGGGGCCAAGCAGAAGGGGGCCTTCAGTGGACAGCACAGTACCTCTACGTAAGGCAAGGGCAAGGAGGCCCAGCGAGGGGGTCAAGTGTACTGAGGAAGGCCTGATGTGGCGTGCCCCCGAGCCTCAGCCATTAACCACCTTTTACAGATTCCAGAAGCTGGCTGGTTTGCTCTACCTGTAACTTGGGCAGGAAGAGGTGTGTCAGCTGTGAAGGCAAGGAGAAAGTGGCCCTTTCATGTATGTCGGTGGCTAAAGCCTACACTGTGGAGGCTGGATGTGGGAAAAGGCCACCCTGCCACCCAATGGACAACCTTGGGACCAGGGCACAATTACCAGGGCAGCTCCCAGAAAAGGAGTGTCTACCTCAGGCCGCACAGGGTCCTCGATGCCCACGACAGCTATGCAGGTGAGGTCACCCACCACCTCGTTCTCATTGTCCCAGTCAGGCTCCTGGCTTGCGGAGAAGTCTCGGTAGGCGATGCAGATGGTACGGAGGCCATCACAAGCCATTGGCTCAATGATCTTCTTCACCATGTCATCTCGGTCCCGAGGACGGAATCCTCGGAGTTCACCATTGCTGTTTAGGATGTTGGTGCACCTGGGGCAAGGGGAGGGGTGGTGGAGCGAAAAGAAGGCAGGAAGGGAACAAGAGGGAACAGCAGGTCACACTGGATTCGGGGCCTTAGCAAGTGACTGGTGTCTTTATAAAAAGTGCAGAGGACAGAGAGACACACAGACAGGGGAGAATTCCATGTGATGACAGAGCCAGAAATGGCAGTGATGTGGTTGCAAGCCAAGGAGTGCCAAGGATTGCTGGCCACCAGTAGAATCTGGGAGAGGCAAGCAAGGATCCTCCCCTCCAGCCTTCAGAGGGAGCGCAGCCCTTTCCACCCTTGACTTTGGACTTCTGGTCACCAGAACTGTGAGGTTATAGATTTCTGTTGTTTTAAGCTACCAGGTTTGGGAGTGTTTGTTCCAGTACTCTCAGGACAGTCATACACTGGGATGGGCTAAGAGAACAAGGTGGGTGGTAGGAGATGGGAGAACAAGGCTCATGGACTCTATGGGGCTGGGGTGTGAAACACAGACAAAAGCTAAATGCCACAGAACGAGGACAAGACAAGGCAGTGGCAACCATCAGAGCCCAAGCTCTGATGACCCTAAGGGCTCCTCAGAAGGGACAGGACTGGAGGGAGATTCAGCCACAGAGACAGGTGTGGTGGAAGAAGTGAAAGGAGCCTCATGTGGCAGGCACCATAAGGGAGACTGATGAACGAGGAACTGGCTGTTAAGGCCAGGAGTCGGGCAGAAGGAAATAGCAACAAAAGCTGGCATGGACTGACGTTTTCCCAGTTACATGGATTCACCCATGTAATTCGCACAGCACCCCCAGGAGGTCAATATTTCTGTGGTCTCCATGTCGTAAGAGGAAGCTGAGGGGAGGGGACGGGGGAGGAACTCGCTCACGTTCACACAGTCAGCAAACAGCAGAGCCAGGGTTGGAGTTCAGTCCCAGTTACTGACCTTGGACTTTTAGCCATGGTGGCCCTGTGGCCCACAATCAAAGATGCACAGAAAGAAGTCTGGGGTCTCCAAGTCCAGCCTCTACTCCCAATCCAGCTGGAACTGCTTCAGGGAGGAGGTGGTCTTTGCCGTGGCTCAGAGAGGTTGTGCCTAGGCTGTCTAGGGGGAGAGTGCTCTGGATGGGGCAGCCAAGGGTGGGGGGACATTTGATGATCAGGTCTGCTGAGAACGAGGGGCAGGCTGAGCGTGGAGCGCAGGGAATCCTGTGCGTCCTGTTGAGGACTTTGTTCCCAAGGACCACAAGGAGGGTATGGGAGGAGCCATGTGGGTGGGGCAGAGAGAATGGAGGGAAAAAAGAGACCAAGGTCAAGGGGAAGTGTGCAGGGGGAGCAGGGGTGCTCAGAAGCAAGGCTGCATGCTTCCCCCTTTGGTTTTTGAAACAGCTCTATTGAGATACAAGTCACATACCAAACAATTCACCATTTAAAATGTATAATTTAATAGCTTTTAGTATATTCTGAGACATGTACAGCCATCACCACAGTCAACTTTAAAACATTTTCATCACCTCTAAAAGAAACCCCATGCTGGGTATGGTGGTGCCCGCCTGTAATCTCAGCATTTGGGGGACTGAGGCAGGAGGACTGCAACTTTGAAGCCAGCCCAGGCTACATAGTGACACCCTGTCTCAAAAACAAACACAAACAAAAAACCCAATCAAACCAAAAGGAGTCACACATAAACAACAGCAACAATAGATAAGTCGGACTTCATCATAATCTTAAAACATTTGTGCTTCTAAAGACACTACCAAGAGAGTGAAAAGACAACCCACAGAATGGGAGGAACTACAAGTCATACATCTGATAAGGAGCTAGCACTGAGAACACAGAAGGAACTCTTCAAACCCAGCAATAAAAAGACCCAACTCTCTAGCCTGCTCTTCCGAACTGTCCCAAACTCCTCCCACCACCAATATCATCAGGTCTAGCCACAGCAATGACTCTACTTTTCTTCTTCTTCTTCTTCTTCTTTTTTTGGTGCTGGGGATTGAACCGGGGCCTTGAGCACACTAGGCAAGTGCTCTACCACTAAGCTACACTCCCATCCCAACCCACTTCTTGGTACCAATTTTCTAGGCATCTCTCAATTCAGTCAAGTTGACCACTAAAAAATTAACCATCACGTATAGCTAAGAGTAGAACTGCTAGTTACATGGTAACTCTGTTTAACTTCCTGAAGCACCATCAAATTGTTTTCCAAAACGAGTGCACCATTTTGCTTTCCCCAGTAATGTAGAAGGATTCTTCTTTGGGGGTTGCTTTGCCTTGCTAGTTCACACATGCGTATATTGTACTTTCATCGGATTAGCCCCTTCAGTAGAGAAGAATTCTAACTTCTCATCCTCACCGATACTTCTGGTCCTGGGGAAAAGGAAATCGGAAACACCGCGATATACCAGTTCACATCCACTAGGACGGCAAGAGTGATAATAATAATAATAATGACGACAATAGAGAAAGCCTAGAATGCTGTAAGCAGAGCTTAACAGATAGTTCTGGTGGGGCTCAGAAGACCACAATGCTGACAGGAATACAGACAGTAGAGACTGTGCTCATGAGACTTTAGATGGGAACGAGGACTCAGTTGGGAATTAGGCTAGATGCCATTTGCATTACATTCCGGCCAAGAACTTGGCTGCATTTGTCTATGCCTTGAGACTTGTGGCCGAGTTTAAAGATGATGGACTAGTTTATCTAGTGGAAGAAATTTCAAGGTAGCACAGCATTCAGAATACGGCATGGGTACTACTGGCTTCTTTTAACCAAATTTACTGTGAGAATCAGGAGCAAGGAGGAACAGAGTGGAAAACTTGTGGTTTGGCCAGAAAAGAAGTGCTGTAAGGCTCCAGCCAAGAAGGATGCAGTTGTGTAGTGCCTCTGAAAAGAGGTCAAGTAGTTTGCATTGGGTAATAAGAAACATGCCTAGAGGGAATCTCAGAAATTATCAAGGCCACTGCCATTCCAGGCTCAGAGTTATAGAAAAATAAGTTTGTTTTACAGACTTTCCCCGGGCAGAGTCTTTGGAGAAGAGAGTCCCAGTGTGCTCTGCGTTCCCAAAAGAACCCTGTGAATCATTTCCCTGGGAATCCCCCTTCTCCATGTTCAGCCAGCAAGGCACTCAGCGATCACTATAGCCATAGTTCAAACGAGCCTAGGTACAGCTCCCGCTGGTGTCAGACCTTGGCATTGTCTACATGGTGCTAGTTTTGCAGACAAGCAGAATGCCATGGAGGCTTCCACCCAGATTTCAAAAGGAAGGATGGGAGGCTAAACAATGTATGGCAGGGTCAGAGTCCCTACAAGCAGCCTCCAACAGGGTGATGCCCGGAGCTGTGAGTATGAAGTTGAAGCTGTAGTGGAGGCCGCAGAAAGTTAGAGATGCCAAGAATGTGGGACACCTGCCGAAGGAGGCTGCGGGCAGTGAGCCTGGCCAGCACACGGAGGCCGTGTGGGCTGCAACCAGAGAAGTCACGGGGGTGGGGCAACCCAAGCTTTTGGGAACCCACATTCCACCACAGTGTACCCCGGATGCTGGATCTGGAGATTTAGGATTTAATGTTTGCCCTCCTCGCTTTGGGTCGGATCCTCTTATTTTCTTAATTTCCCCCAGTTGAAATGGGAACGTTTACCCTGTGCCAAGTATGTAACTTTCTTTTTTTTTATTTTTGCAAGACCTCACAGGTGAGTTTTCCTTGAGTGTCAGGAGACCTTGGACTTGTACTTTTGAGCAGTGCTGGAACAGTTAAGACTTTGGGGACTCTTGGAGATGGACATAAGTGCTATAGCTTGGATCTGAAATGTTCCTCAAAGCACCTTGTATTAAAGGCTTGGTTCCCAGCTTGGTGCTCTTGGAAAGTGGTAGAAACTAAGAGGTAGGGCCTAGTGAGGAGGCGTTAGGTCATTGGGGACATGCCCTTAAAGGGACTGTGGGACTGTGATCTCTTCCTCTTTCTATCCCGGCCATGAAATGAGTGGCTTTTGCTCCACCACACACTCCCTGCCATGATGTACCGCCTTGTCCACAGGCCCAAAGGCAATGGGCCAACTGACCACAGACCAAAATCTCTAAAATTATAAACCAAAGTAAAACTTTTCTCTCGTATAAGTTGATTTATCTCAGGTGTTTTTTTTTTTTTTTGAGATGGGTCTCACTATGTCCCTCATATTGTCTTTGAACTCTTGTGCTCCAGAGATCCTCCAGCTTCAGCCTCCTAAGTAGCTGGGACTACAGGTATGAACCACTATGCCCAGCTCAGGTATTTCTTATAGTAACAGGTGACTAGCATGGTATATATTTAAGAGAGTTAAAATGTGTATTCAAACACAAACTTGTACATATGTGTTCATAGCAGGATTATTCATAATTCTGGCTATTATTCATAATAATAATTATAATTTTGGCTATTATTCATAATAGCCAAAATGTGTAAACAACTGCAATGTCTGTCAGCAAATGGATGGGTAAATAAAATGTGGTGTCATCCTTACAATGGGATATTATCCAACCATCAAAAAGCCAGGTGTAGTGGCTCAAACCTGTAATCCTAGCCACTCAGGAGGTAGAAATCGGGAAGATTGCATTTCAAGGCCACCCTGGGCAAAAAGTTCCTAAGAGCCCATCTCAATCAATACAAGGCACTGTGGCATGCATTTAACATCTTAGCTACACAGAAAGCACAAATAGGAGGATCACAGTCCAGGCTGGCCCAGGTATAAATGAGAGACCATATTTGAAAAATACCTATAGCAAAAAGGGTTGGGGATATGGCTTAAGTGGTAGAGCACCTGCCTGGCAAGTACAAGACCCTGAGTTCAAACCTCAGTACCACAAAAAAAAAAATTTCAAAAAGGAATAAAGTTCTGATAGATGGATGAACCTTGAAGATGTCAAGCTCAGTGAAAGAAGTGACACAAAAGGCTACGAAGTGCACAATTCTATTTCTATGAAATGTCCAGAACAGGCAAATCTACAGGGGCGGGAAGCAGATGGGTAGTTGCTAGGGCTGACGGGGGGCGGGGGGAGTAGCTCCTTAATGGTTCTGGGGTTGCTTTTTGGAGTGATGCAAAGGTTTTAGAACTCCACAGTGGTGACAGTTAAACAACACTGTGAATATACTGAATGTCATTGAGCTGTACACTTTAAAGTTCAAATGGCCAATTTCACATTAGGTATGTCTTTTTACCATCAAAATAAAATGAGAAATTTGTACATACCCTTTAGCTAGCCCCCAGCCACCCAAGCCCTGGCTCCTTCCTGTCACCCACTCACTTTTTGAGCAGGATCTCTGAGGCCCCCTTGCTGAAGAGGCGGAAGCCACCATCAGGCATGCGGATGACTGTGCTCATGGACTTGCGGACCGAGTTGAAGGTGTATACTTTGTAAAGCTTATCTTCCGGAATCTGCTCCCGCACAGGCTGGAAGTCCCGCTTCAGGTCCAGGACGAAGCCTAGCAGAGCGCACTCCGTCTTATTGCCCACTTGGCGTGGGAGAGCGCCTTCCTTCTCTGGAGGCTGCAGGGTGAGGAGAGCCAGCATGGCGCTGAGGCCGAGAGCACCTTCCGTGCCATCCCCAGGGCCACAGCTCCTGCTCAGGTTGTTAGGCGTGGTGGCAGGGAGCAGTGGAAAGCCTAGGCAGGCCGTGCTCTAGCTGCAAAGTGATCCCTTGCAGGCAAGTTTGCCATCATTCACAAAGCTTGAGAGAGACATCTAGAACCTGCAGGCCCCACTCAGCAGCCAGAGCAGCCTGTCATGCCAAGCACAGTGAGGAGGGTGACCAGCGCTCTGGTCAAAAGTTCTTATATATATATTTTTGGTGGTGTTAGGGATTGAACCTGGGGCGTCGTTCATGCTAGGCAAACATTCTACCACTACCACTGAGCTACACTCCCAGCCCCTCAAAAGTTCTTAAGAGGGCCTAGTGAGCCCCTCAGGACAGCTCATGCCATGCTCCCAGACCGGCCCCTCCCCTCATCCCACTGCAGCTCTGCCACCTGCCCTTCTGGCCCAGCTCACTAGTATTTTGGTGGTGTAGGCACTGTTGATGGAGATGGCATGGACCAGGAGGTCAAGGATCTTGGGGGTCAGGGCACTGGGAGCTGGAATCTCTTTGTAGTGGGTGTCTCCTAGGTAGGACTGGACCACGGTCATCCGATTGGTGGTGAGTGTGCCCGTCTTGTCAGAGCAAATGGCTGTGGCATTGCCCATGGTCTCACAGGCATCCAGATGGCGTACCAGGTTGTTGTCCTTCATCATTTTCTGTAAAGGTTACAGACGGGGCAGGGGGCATTTGGGTTGTTTGCTCATCGGATTAAGGGGAACGAGAGGTGAGCAACACAAACACGGTGTATGTGTGGCACTAATAGCTCTTTTGGGCCCTTGATCAGCACTGGGCTGGGTGGCACCCAAACTGAGGGAGCAGGCCTGTAAGGTGCAAGGACTCTCATCAAACTGGGAGCACTCAGACTCATCTCAGTGTCCCCAGCCTTCCCCAGTCCTCACTGGCCCAAAGTGCTTAATGACACCTCACTCACTTTTCTGGGTCTGTATAATGGCATCAAATGTATTATTACTATTACCTTGACAGAGTAAGCCAAGGAGATGGTGACAGCAAGAGGCAGGCCCTCGGGGACAGCCACAACCAGCACAGTGACGCCAATGATGAAGAACTTCACGAAGTACTGCACATAGACCGGTGTGCACTCTGCTAGCCACACCCGGCCATCCACGACGAAGGTCTCGATCACAAAATAAAGGACCAGGATGATGACGGTGATGGCAGACATCACTAGCCCTGCTCAGCCATAATGGAGTCCATAGAGGGTAGGGCAGGAAGGGGGCCAGCAGAGGTGAGAGGGGAGAGAGGAAGAGGAAAGAAGAGGTAAGGGGCACTGCAGCTGTGGCCAACTTGAGCCTGGCCAGGGCCTTTTCAAAGGGCTACTGGATTTGGTCCATGTTTTGAGACAAATAGCCTAAGGGGTGGGGGGGGGGCCTGGATGGCTTTAGTTTGAATCCCTCAGGACAATGTGGGGTAGAGAGCAGAGAGCCTGTGTCTGATGGTGTGAGAGGCAGGGTTGGTAGGGACCAGTCACCTTCAACCCACTCTCAGAAGTTGGGGTTCTGGACAGTAGGCCCTCAGTGGTGCTGGCTGCCTTTTGGTTGTGTCCAGGCAGAGCCAGAGGCGTTGGTGAGGGAGCTGGATAATAGGTGAAGGCACACGACCTGGGCCTTAGGGGAGGGTTTGGAATCCATACTCATTTGGGGAAGGCTGGGCCTGGACATGATGACCACAGCTGGCGCTAACCCGGTCCCCTGGCTGCCTGGCCCACACCACCTACCACATCCCTTCTCTCTGGCCCTACATGGCCTGGCTCCATCTCCAGAAGCCCAATGTCCCCCATGCTCAGTAAATGGCCCCTGGCCTGCCACCCTTGGCTGTCCCTACCTGCTTTCCCAATCTGCACAGCCAGTTTTGTGAGCTTTCCCTGAAGGACTGACTTCTCCTTCTTGGGCACGTTGGCTTTCTTCTTTTCCCGCTCCTCCATCTCACCACCTTCCGCACTCTTCAGGGGCTGCATTTCCATGGCAACTGCCCCATCCTGCTTCTTAGCTGCACACAGAGGAACCCCATGGCCAAGGTTAGGTCCCAGCCAGGATGAAGGGGCTACAAGGGGCTATCACAGGGAAAGACATGTCACACCATATGAGAGGAAACGGATTCAATGGAGTTCTTTCATTTCCAAGCTTAACATGGCAAAGGGAGTCTATTGGCCTCCCCTCTCTTGCCTCCCAAAGCCCAGGCCCTCCTGAGGTAGGGTAACTCCAGCACTGTCCTAGGTGGGGTAGAGAGACGGTTCTCTGTGGGAAGGGAGGACAGACAAAAGCACAGGGAACTTGGGCACACAGACAAGGCGGCCAGTCCTGGAATGCCCCAAATCTGAATACCTGAGAGCAGAGTCCCGTGGTCCAAGGAATGTTCCAGAACCCAAGCTGACTAATCTATCCACTGGTGTCCAAGCCATCTCCTTGGTCTCTTCAAGGAGTTTTAGGGCCCCAGTGGAGCCTCTTCCTGGGCCAGCCACCCCTGCTTGCTGCTCAGGCTGTCCTCTCCTCATTGGCCTGCTCCCTGGGCTGCTGTGGGCAAGCATTTTCTGTCCCTCCAACTGCTTCCCTGCCTCCTCTCAGGGTAAGATGGCTTCCCTCACTTCTCCCCTGCCCTCGATGTGGCGGTGATGTGTCCCCTAGCTCAGACTCCTCCTCATCTCCCTCTCCGCCGAGCTCTGACTTCATGCACTCCTGGTGTTCTTGAGCCCTACAGCCCCAAGTAATCCATGCCTCCTCCATTCCTCCTCAGGAAGGGGCTACCTGACTTAGCAATCAGGGCCCCCCTGCTTGTCTTCCTCTCTCGTCACTCTTGTCCTTCATGCAAACGGGCTCTTGGCACTACAGCCATCACCTCTGTATCCCTTCTTTCCACCTGGCAGGCCACTCACCATAGCTCCTTCCTTCCAACAGCTACAGGGACATGTCAGGCCCTGCCCAGCTGTGTCACTCTAGATTTGAATCCCTACCTACTGTCACCCTGTCATTAGCCTTCCCCTGCCCCAGTGAGCTCCCAACCTCAGTTATCTTCTGAGCTCCTGTTGACTTGTCTGACTTTCTTAGTCCCTGGGTCCCCAAGGCCAGCACACACCATGCTGTACTTGAGGACTGTCTGTCTCTCTGCACTGTGACCTTTCCGCTTCATCCACCTTTCCATTTCCAGGACCTAGAACTCATGGCTCATTTGACCTGACATCTCTCCTCCTTGGCCACTGCCTGCCATCTAGCCACTTCCCTTTCCCGTGCGTGCCTGACCAGAGTGCGGGGACCCACCAGGCATTTGGAGATGAGAGGAAAACCAGGCCTCTGCTTTTTGGGTGATCACTCTTTCATCCTGACCCATGGAGTCAGACAGAAGAGAGGTGACCTGGGAACCCACAGGACTAACTGGGACCCAGAGCTTTGGGCAAGTCATCCTCTCTGTGCCTCAGTTTCCTCAGCTGGCCAAAGTGGGCCTAGGGTGGGCCCACTCATAGGTAATCTTTACACATGGACAAGCTCAAGTTATGCCAATGGTCTCGGCATCTGCTAGCTATCCTCTAGTTGGCTGGTCTGGGCTTCCAGCAGTGTCTGTATTGCCCCCTCCACCCTCTGGCCAGGGTAGAACATGGAGCCCACTCACCTGTCTCTAGGTGCTGCTTCTGCACTGCAGCAGGAGGTCCCTCCCCAGACACCCGCCCTCCCCAGCCTTACCCCCCAGGTTCCTCAGCTGCCCCCGAGCAGTGAGGCACACACATTACCTCTGGTCTGGCTATTGTCCATCGCCCCATCCTGCTGCTTGCCTACAATGGAAGAGGAATGACAGACACGGAGACTTGAGAACATCCATGTGGCCATGACACACACACATGTACAGGATATCAGGCAGAGCTGGGGCACAGACAATGCAGCCTAGGACCATATGGGATGGGAGGAGGGGAAGGAGAGGCCTGATTGCTGGTGGTCCTGATGTCACCCATGTAGGGACCTTCTCTATGCCCACTCATATTGTCACTACCACCCAATGCGTGGTTACCACACACCACTCAGCAAAACCCTGGGCCAACGCTTCTCATTAGGCCTCAAACCCCAGTCGTACAGTGAACCCCTAAAGGAAGTCCTGGATGGGCCCTGGGTCAGGGGGGCGGCAGTGGAAGGCTTCTTGGAAGGACTGCTTCCTCTAGCAGGGCCCATCTTATGATGCTGTGTCCTCTCCCAGATCCAGCAGGAGGGCTTTACCTGCATGGTTCCTAACCCCTGGTGGCCGGCATCTAGCCATCCTGGACTACAGCAGCCTTCTCTGAAGCCCCTGCCAGCAGTTAGCTCCATGTGTGCTTTAAATGGACAAAACAATTAGACTCTAGAAGTGTCTCAGGTCTTGGGACCCATTGGGCACCTCTAGGGCAGTGACCAGCCCAGGATAGGGGCCTCCCACTGTGTGGGAGTGCACAGCAGCTCTGGGGGGACAGGCTGAGCCCCAGGTGGACCTGTCTGGGGCCTCAGGTGGTGTAGCCCACAGAGCCAGTCACTTCTTCTTAGGGCTGCACAGGTGGGTGCAGTTAGGAGAGCTAGCATGGGGGCTCCATCTGCACTGGTCCTTATCCAGAGGCGAACTGGACAGGGCAGGAGGAGCTTGTGGGCTGACCAGTCAGTCACCACTTACTAGCTTATATCCCTGGGGATCTAGGCACACAGACAAGGTATCAGGTAGCTCCCAGGTAATGGGGTCGTGATCTGAAGTCCCTAAGAAGGAGGGAAAAGCCCCCTTCCCAGCCAGAAGCATAGAATGCTGTAGAATGGGCCGTCTCTGTCCAGGCCCTCTGTGGGGGTTGAGGGGGAGTTCAGAGGTGAAAGAGACTTCTGTCGGTGGGGGAGGAGACCTCTCCCACAGGATGACAGTGCAATGGCAATACAGCACAATAAGGAAGGCACTGCTGAATTCCTGGTCTGTGGAAACCCAGCCTGCAGACAGGACCAGGGGAGGCCTCCAGAGGAGGGAGGGAGGGAAGTTTGGGGTGAGAACTGCAGGAAGAGGTGGAGGTGGACTAGCGTGGAGGGAGGGCATAGAGAGCAGGGCAGACACTTTGAGAAGAATGAATAGGAGTCATGGTCAAAAGGCAAGAACAGAAGGTGGATAGGGAATGCCTCCAGAATGTGCCCAATAGGCTGGGCTGACTCATAGGGGCAAGGAGACAGTGAGGGACCGTGGCAGCTACAGCTCCCCCTCCAGGGCCTCATCAGAAAGCTGGCATACTCTGAGCTCCAAGTTATACAGCCTAAGAGCGCTGGGAAGAAGGAGGGGGAGGGGACAGAAGGGGTCTGATCAAGTTCAAAGAGGAGGGGTCAAAGACTAAGCTGTGAAAGATACCAACACTTAACACCATTTAGGGCATTTAAGGGACAGAGCGGGAGGCCAGGAGCCTGGAAAGGAACCACAGGGAACACCAGGAGAGTGTAGGATCCCGCAACCCAAGGGAGAGACCTTTGGCCAGCATGGGTGGGGATGGAAGTCCTTGGAGGATCCTATGTGAAGGGGCTCCCTGCCAATCAGCCAGGACCAAGAGGCCACCAAGAGGTCATCCAGCCCAGTTTAGTCCAACCCAGATGAGGCCTGGAGTCTACCTATCTGCCTGTGCACCCTCAGGGAACTCACAGGGAGGACATAGGCGGAGCTCTGTGGGAACAGAAGGCTTGCTTGGTGCAACAAAGAAGAGGTGGTGGAGAGCCTGGCCTGCTATGAGTGAGGAGGCGCCCACACACATAGGCCCAGAAGGCCAGAGGACTGGGTCTTCAGAAGCAGGGAGCTTCAAGAGGTGGTCTGGGGCTGCTAATGCATCCTTCCTTATGCTGATGTGTCACTGGGTGGCTGAGAGTGGACGGACCAATCCTACCTGCTCTCTCAGCCCCAGTGGCCCAAGACTGTCCCCTCCCCAGCTTACTGGCCCCAGGGTCTCACTTCTGGAAGCAGAGTTCTCCCCACACATGCAGCTTCTTTGTACTTGTAGATAGACACAGACAGGTTCTCTTAGGTGGAGATAGACATCTATAAATCTCTGCTCCGCACCCGGTTTGGGGAGGGAAAGCAACAGAGCAGCTCTATAGCTTTGTAAGGCCCTACTCTGAGAACCAGAGGGGACACTGCTCATGCTGGACCTGAGGGCCCTGGCAGCATTGTCCGAAGCTGAGGATGCTGGTCCCTGTCTCTCTGACCACATTCAACCCCAGACAGGTGTCCCAAAGCCTTCAGGGAACACAATCCAAGGGAAGCTGCCCTTATACAGATCTGGAGGGGCCCCTGACTTGCTGGCTCTGAGGGGACAAACCTCAGACCTTAGGGTCCCTAAGAAGAATCAGGAGAGATGCCTCCCACCCCATGAAGGCCTGAAATTGGCTATCAGGGGGCCACCAGCAGGCAGACAAAGAAGCAAGAGCGGGGGTGACATAGAAGGAGGCTGTGTGGCTGGCAGAGTGGCTCAAGTGGCAGAGTGCCTGCCTAGCAAGCACAAGGCCCTGAGTTCAAACCCCAGCACTGCAAAAACAACAATAAGAAGGAGGAGGAACTCTGGACACTGGAAGCCAGTGTTTCATTACCTTTCTTATCCTTCTTCTCTTCCTCCTCTCCACCAGCTCCAAGCAATGTAAAGATGATGCCTGTCTGGGAGTTCACACCAACGGCCGTCACCACCATTCTTCCGGAACCTTCCATGACATGGGTGCCTGGTAAAACAGAGAGGCTGAGACAGAGATTTGCACTACCTGGTGGGAGACATGTTCAGTGTCCACAGGTTTGTTCCTAGGGATTCTCAGAGGCAGGAACTCAGAATTCAGAGGCCACAAGCACTGTGTTGATTGTACACCTACCCAGCAGCCTGTTCCCTGGCTTGGAGGGGACCCAGAGGCCCACAGAGGGGCAGGTACTTGCCAGAGGCATATTGTGAGTCATTCACAGTACTTACCAGAGGCGCCTGGTCTTTCTGTCCAGTTTCCTACTGTATTTCCCACTGCCCCCTGTGGTAAATACTTGGCTAAATCAGAACCTTCAGGGAAGGGAACACTGCTCCAGCAAGCCTCCATGGACTTCCCATTCGGGATGCCAAGGGCCCTCCTGAGCTGGGAGAGTCCATTTCCTTGCTGTGTGACTGGAGTTGCTGCCATCAGACCTCCAGTGGTCCACTCTGGCCTTGCAGAACTGGTCCTCAGACTCCCTAACTGGAAGAGCTATTTAGGAAGGCCCTCCTTGACGCAAGTCTGGCAGGCTGGTATGGATGGGCAAGCTGGGCCAAATGGCTTCCAAGGTGATTTCACGTTGGACTGGTTGGGAAGGTGAGTCCTCACCAGAAAGCAGCATGGGGTCTTTGTCTGCTGACTTGCGCACATGGTCCGACTCGCCAGTCAGGGAGCTCTCATCGATCTTGAGGTCATTGCCCTGGATGAGCACGCCGTCGGCAGGCAGCAGGTCTCCTAAAGGCCCGGAACCAGAACCAGAGGCTATGGGTCCATGGGACCTTTCTCCTCACCAGATCCTCCCGGCTGTCCCAGGGGAGGTCCTGACCTCTGAGAAGAGGACTTTGGAGTCACCTTTCAGCCCCCTCCTTTAGGAGGAGCCACCCAGATCCCAGGGAACAGGGACGATGTTTGCATCTTGCAATAGTGGGAGAAGACCTCCTCAGAGGCCATGGGGACAGCCTGCTTTCTGGAAGCCTTGCATGTCAAAGTCCCTTTTTTTTTTCCCTATCTCCAGCCCCCTGAAATGAAAGCACACATGCTCTTGGGGAGACAGCCTGTGCTGTGGGGAGGGTGAGTCTCTGCTGGCCCAACCTTCTCAGAAATGGAAGTCAGACTCTTGGCAGAGTAGGTGAAGATTGGCACACTCACCATACTTGACCTGGGCGATGTCACCCACCACCAGTGCAGCAACAGGGACCTGGAGGAGCTGCCCGTTGCGGATGACTGTGAACTTCTGTTCCTGCTCTATGCGGCTCTGCAGGCCTCGAAACTGCTTCTCCTTGCTCCAGTCATTGAAGGCGGTGACCAGCACCACGCAGATGACAGACAGCAGGATGGCAGCCCCCTCGATCCAGCCAGCCTCCGCCTCACCCTCATCTTCTGCCCCGCCAGACACATTTCCACAGGCTGTGCCAGAAGACAGGCGGGAAGCTATGTGAGCCAGAGGCTGGGACATCCTGGGACCCTCTTTCCTCTCCTTCCAGCCCAGAGCCCCGACCTCACCTTCACTCTCCTCTCCGGGTGGTGCATAGAAGGAGAGGCCCAGGGAGACAATGGCGGCTACCTCCAGGATGATGAGGGTCACGTCTTGCAGGGCCTCCCACACCAGCTGCAGGAAGGTCTTGGGCTGCTTGGGAGGGATAAAGTTCTGCCCGTAGATCTGCCTGCGCTTCTCCAAGTCATTGGTGTTGTCCGCCAGGCCTGCACAGCGCCCCAGAAGGGCAGCAGAAGCACAGAAGGAGAAGATGGGACATCTGCTGCTGCAGGAGTGTCCCTTGAGGATCTGTGGCCAGAGCCTGCCTCATCCTCTAGACTATATGCTTGGAGAAGCCTAGTGCCATGAGTCTTTCTGCAAACCTGTGGGGCCAAGTGTATGGGAATGAGCACGCAGCCCTCCACAGCCATCACAGGGAGCCCCCAGCCTGAAGAAGGGGTGCTAGCCCAGGAAGAGGGGCTGTCAGCCCCCTCTGCTACACAGATGAGAGAACAGGCCTGGGGAGGCCTCAGGACTACAGCAGTCTCAGTTGCTGGGACTCAAACCTAGGCCATATGCCTAGGTTTGACTACTCTCAGTTGATCCCCGTGCTGCCTTATGCAACTTCCAATCTATCTCTGAGGGGCATTTGAAGGAAAAGTGATAATGCCCGACAAGGGGGAAGAACGGAGGGGACCTAGCGGGGCCCTGTGTGGTCCTGTGTCACCCAGAGACAGGAGCAGAAGAGAACAGCCAGCAGCTCTCTGGGGAGGAAGAACAAACATCCAGATGGCTTCAGTGAGTTTGCAGGGAGGTCATCAATCATAGGGTGCCCATCTTCACCTAGGTGCCAAAGAAGTGGCCAGGCCCTCTCTTCCCATCAAGAAAGAACTCTAGCTCTCAAGTTGGCTTCCCTGTCTTCTTCAGAGTGGGCTAGCCATGGGGCCTCACCCAGGTCTGCAAGAGGAGAAGACATGGATACCCTGAGAGTTGGACAGCCACCAAGCCTTGTTCCCCCATGGTCTGCTGGTCCCAAACACTTGCAGGATCACACATCCTGACCTGCAAAGGGGGGTAAAGTACAGGGGGACCAGGAGCACGTGTGGGGCTCAGGGATATGGGAGTCTCTGGGAGCACGGCTGCTGAGGAGGACAGAGGAGTGAGTGGCTATTGGACATGAAATGGAGCCGACTTTCCAGAAGCCTCTCAGGGAAGGATCAGAGAGAGAGAGCGGGAGAACTAGTGGGGGATGCAAGATCTTGGGTGCAGACACCCACACAGGGGGCCTCATATGAGAAGAGAGGGTCTCAGGAAATTGGGTGGGAGAACAGGGTGCTCTGAGGAGAAGCGAAGCCAGGATCCCAGCAGCATCTCACTTCCCCCGGGCTGTGCAGAGAGGCCGCTCATCAGCTGGGAGGGTGGTGTTCTGCCCCCCAGGGTTCAGATGAGGCCACTGAGGCTGGAGACGGAAAGGGCCGTGTGCCTGTGAGTCAGAGCGCAGAACTGCTGTCCAGATCAGGACTGTGGAGCCTTGCAGATGCCGAGCAGCCATGAAATAGGACTGGAGAGAGGTTGAGCACTGGTGGCCACAGTGCCACGGAGGCATGCAGGGAGAGATCCACGCCTCATTCATAACGCCTTCTCCAGGGTCTGGCTCTAGCGCCGACCTCAAGACCTGGGCCACATGTCTGCATGATGGCTTGAATTACACCCAGGGCCAAATTACACTCTGCCAAATTCCGTGACCAGCTTTCTCAGGAGTCCCGCAACCAGCCTTAGCCTCACAATGACAGCCATCCCTCATCCAATTCTGTCACTGGTCATCCTTGAGAGGTGGGGAGGCTGGGAGGAATGAGATTGTTAACAGTTCACGATAGCGGCATTTTGTCCCCAGGCCATCAA